GGCCCTACTTCGAGTCCCTGTCTTGTCGAAATAAAACAAAAGGGTTGGGATTAAATACTATGTTCAGCTTTTGTGCAGAGAGAAATTGAAGAGAGGCCAACTGGAGTTGTCTTCTAGTCTTCTCACTCACTAAATTCTCCCTGCTGCTTCTACCTAGCTAGTGATGAGGGTGAGGAGAGAATGCATACATGGCCATATGGGTATGGGTATGGGTGGTGGTTCCAAATCCATTCTTTTTTTTAACGGTCCATTTTAACTTAATTTTTCATGTCCTACTTTGATCAATTATATATAAAAAGGAGAAAGATCAAAGTAGGACTAAAACATTGAAAATATATCAAAATAGTACTTCTATGTTTTTATTCTTGAAATAGGACTTACATTACCAAACATGGTCATATACATTACAAAAAATAGTATAGTAATTTGCACATGTACACTGCCACATTACCACAATATAAAGTCACATTACCACAGTGCAAAGTCCTACTTCAAAAAAAAACATGAAAGTCCTATTTTGGTACTTTTCTCTATGTTTTAGTCCTATTTAGGATGATTTCTATATATAAAAGTGTGTGTCTGTGTGTGTAATATGTTTATGGGTTTGATAGTTTTCTTAATCTTGTTATAGTAGGAATAGAATTATGGTAGGAATAGGACTTATTATTTTACTCTCTTCTTATATAAGGAGGGTTCAATCATTGTAATCTGCGCAAGACAATTCAATATATAATTATTTTCCATTATTTTTTTGTACATGGTATCCGAGCCACCGTTCTTGGTAGCCTAAAAATTTTGTCTTCGCTCTTGGCGGGCAACGCCATCGCCATTAGCTGTCCACCGGGCTGTTGTTCTTCTTTGTTCATTATTTTTGCGTCTAGATCTATAGATCTGTAGTTGTTGCCCTATCCCATTCATAGGTCGTCGTCACCGTAAACCGAACTATCATCGAAGTTATTGGTGCCATGTTGCCTAATTCTAGGTGTGCCATTGCCAATCGTTATTATCGTCGTCACAACTACATATCGTGCCACAGCCGCCCACAAATAGGTCTGCCATCCGCCACACAATCTCTGCCATCATGAACAGTCAACCGCCTGGAGTCCCATCCGTCCAGCAACTTCTCCACCTGGTTTGTCCGTCCTCACCTTATTGTTGGATCGTCATCAAACACTCATCATCAATATCTAGTCGACATACGTTGGCGTCTCCCGTTATTGGTGCAGGAGTGGTGGGGTGGTATCCTTCATCTATTCTCTTCGCCTAAATTCGTCTGCCGTCAAAAGTTAGATCTGTCAAATCTGTTTCGTTGTATGCAATATGGGCATCGTTATCGTCCAGTCCGATCAACGTCCAAAAAATCTGGGCATCGTTATCGTCCAGTCCGATCTACGTCCAAATAAAATCTGGGCATCGTTCTCGTCCAGTATTTGGTTGTTTGACTTGTTTGCTATGTAACAGTCGCAACCAGCCGTACGTACGACATGTCAATTTGTGGGGGTCGGTCCTCAGTCCGACAACACCGTTCGTTTGTCATCCCGCGTGGGAGTCATTCGTCATCAAATTTTGCTTGTTCGTTTGCTTGTCAAGACACATTCATCCCTCGTTGGCATAACAAATCAAAGTTTTGTCCAAGTTATTTATCACGTTTTTTTTCTAGTTCTAATTTTATTGTTCAAGTTGTTCATTCATGGTCTTCATTCTCAACTTGAGGGGGAGTGTTAGAATATGTTTTTGGGTTTGATAGTTTTCTTATTCTTGTTATAGTAGGAATAGAATTATGGTAGGAATAAGACTTATTTATTTTACTCTCTTCTTATATAAAGAGGGTTCAATATCTTTGTAATCTGCAAGACAATTCAATATAGAATTATTTTCTATTATTTTTCTACACACACAGATTTGCATTTGCATAATAGCCACACATTTTGTGGGGGGCTTACGGCGGGGTTGGGG